AGGCGTGAACCACTGCACCTGGCCTGAGGGGCTCTTGAGAAATGCCATTCACTGAAAATGAATTCTAGTACCTTCCTGGGCAAACTCTATCACCACCCTCCCTCTCCATGCCCCAGTCACCTCTGGAGGACGGGGGCTATGTCCATACCTTATAGGCTTGATTGCCAATTGTGTGACCTTGTAGCTATAGTCCCAAATCCTGAAAAATGGACCTCCTTCTAAACCATTGAGATTTCAGTCTTCTTGGGTCCTTTCATAGGATATCTGCAAGGTTCTTCTTGATACCAAAATCAACTCTTTATATATATGTTTGTTTGTTTGTTTGTTTGTTTGTTTTAGAAACAAGATCTCACTCTGTCATCCAGGTGGGAGTGGTGCAATCACAGTTCACTGCAGCCTAGAACTCCTGGGCTCAAACAATTTTCCCACCTCAGCCTCCCAAGCAGCTTGGACTACAGGAATGCACCACCACACCTGGATAATTTTTCTATTTTTTGTGAAGATGGGGGTCTAGCCATGTTTCCCACGCTGGTCTCGAATTCCTGGCCTCAATCAGTCTGCCCACTACAACCTTCCAAAGCATTAGGATTACAGGCATGAGCCACTGCAACCAGCCAAAATCAGTTGACATCTGTCCATTTAGAAAAGTTTCCCAGCTTTGTGTGACGAGAACATTTGGAATGTACAATGGCTTCCCTATGACGTTCTCATTATTGTATATTTCAAACATGGGTCCTCCCAGCTACCACACGTGGTTGAGAAGGATGGTGTTTCAGCCAATATTTTGTGGGTGAGATAATGGGTACAGAATATCTTGCCTAAGATCCTGCAGAGAAGTAGTCTCTCCTTCTCCTGCAGAGTCCGGGCTGGAATCCAGATAGCTTGACTGTTGATATGATAGGAAATGGGAAAGGTTGTTAGGAACGTAGTAGCATCAATCAGGTGAGCCCCAGGGTACCTGGGGACCCTGAAGAAGCTGGTTTTCCTTCTTGCTTGGTGGGCAAGTAGTGCAGAGTTGTAGGAGTAGGACTGTGTCCTTTCTCACTCAGCCCCTTTTTGGTCTTTGAGGCTTGAGGATGATCACTCCCAGCCCCTAGAAGTCAGAGGAAACTCATCCTTGCCCCAGATATCCAACCTGTTCCCCTGAGTATCTGGCCTGGAAGTCTCAGTCCCTCATTCTTACGGTCCTTCTGAAGAGCAGCGATAGGATCGATGGCTTCAGCCTCGTGTCTCCTCTTATTCACAGTGCTCGAATGACACCTCCGACTGTGCCACCTACACCTTCAGCTCGGGGATCAATGCCATTCAGGAGTGGTATAAGCTGCACTACATGAATATCATGGCACAGGTGCCTCTGGAGAAGAAAATCAACATGAGCTATTCTGCTGAGGAGTTGCTGGTGACCTGCTTCTTTGATGGAGTGTCCTGTGATGCCAGGTCAGGAGAGAATGCTGCTCTCTTAGCCTCTGAGTACCAGCTCTGAATACCAGGCCCCTTGCAGGAACCTACAGCCTTGATGATAGGTCTTGGGAGCAAAAGGTGCTCTTCTCACTGACGCTGCCTTTTGGAAATTGCTTACATGGGAGCTGTGTTCTAGAGTCAGTGAGTGAGGTGTGCATGACATAAAATCAAAATATCCTTAAAGTCATTAAACTACTCATTAAAAACAAGGTAGTTGGCCGGTCATGGTGGTTCATGCCTCTAAATCCCAGCACTGTGGGAGGCTGGGGTAGGTGGATCGCTTGAGGTCAAGAGTTCAAGACCAGCCTGGACAACATAGTGAGACCCCATCTCTACTAAAAATACAAAACTTAGCCAGGCGTGGTGGTGCACGCCTGTAGTCCCAGCTATTCAGGAGACTGAGGCAGGAGAATCACTTGAACCTGGGAGGCGGAGGTTGCAGTAAGCCGAGATTGCACTACTGCGCTCCAGCCTGGGCTACAGAGCAAGACTCTGGACAAACAAACAAACAAACAAACACACTAACCCACAAGGTATTAGATTGGCACAAAAGTGATTGCTGTTTTTGTCATATAGTGTGCATATAACCTAACCTTGCATATTACCAAAATGCATACTGATGATTAAGAACCATCGTTCGAAGGAAGGAAGGAAGGAAGAGAAGGAGAGAGAGATGGGGGGAGAAAGGCCCATGTTCAAATATGTGAGATGTCAAACTGTTCACCTCTAGGATAACACTCAGATCCCTCATGGTGACTGGGCAGTGGGTGAGACATTCTAAAGTGTTCCTGGGCTGGGCACAGTGGCTCACACTTGTAATCCCAGCACTTTGGGAGGCTGAGGAGGATGATTGCTTGAGCTCAAGAGTTTGAGATCAGCCTGGGCAATGTGGCAAAACCTCCTTTCTAGAAAAAAAAAATCAAAAACTTATCTGGACATAATTGCACACACCTGTCGTCCCAGCTACTCAGGAGGCTGAGGTGGGAAGATCACTTGAGTCTGGGAGGCTGAGGCTGCAGTGAGCCATAATTGCGCCATTGCACTTCAGCCTGAGCAACAGGGCAAGACCCTGTCTCAAAAATAAAAATAAAAATAAAATAAAATAAAATACTAAGCCTCTTTCGCCTATACATATGTTAGCAGACAGATTTGTTCTTGTGAAAAGTAAATAAATGGAATCATGTCTCCCTAAGAATTGGGTTCCAAAGTCACGTAAGGGCACAGGTGATGTGATTCTTTCCCTGGGGATTATTTTCTAGGAATGGAAATTTGAATGGAAAATGTCAAGTGTTGACTGAGAAATTCAAAAGTGGAGGAATTTGGGGACAGACATGCACAAGGAATGTCAAGTCAGGATAGAGATGAAGGTGAGAGGATTCCAAGATAAAACAGAAGGCAGAGAGTCTAGTTCTATGTCCATGTGTGTCAACCAGGATGAGGGGCCTTGTGTGTCATTTGATCAGGAGCAAGATATGGAAAATGAGTCACGTCTCTCATGCATTCTCCCCAAAGAGAGTTGACTCC